ATTATACATCAAAGCATCATCACCAAAATTAGCAAAAATAAGGTAAAAAAAATATTTAAAAAATTAGGTCTACATTTAATTAGAATTTTATACGATTAAATATATAAAAAAGATGGAATAGATCCACTTACTGTAAAAGCCTTTAAGAAGCAGTCTGAATTTTCAAAAATAATAATAAATAAAAAAAATTAACAGAAAACTATTTACAACATTAGGAAACTCATAAAGGTTCTATTTTTTTTCCCTTCAATTAGTAAAAGATAGACTGTCTAATATTTGTAACATTACTAGATCATATTAAACATTTTCTTTTCAAAAATTCAGGTCAATTAAAGAACCAAAATATCTTTTATGTTGAATATCGTTTTTCAATTTGTTCTCATTTATATTTCCTCAAAAAAGATTCATACAAATGTTACTTTGGTATTCATTATTTTTCACCATTTTTATAATTATTTTTATCGTTATTCTATATTTTCTATTATTTTTTATCCTTATTATTATTATCACCATATTTTTTTTTTTTGCCATCTTTTGTCCAATTTTCATTATTTTACTCACCCTAACTTTTTTTCAACCCAATTTAATATATATATTAAAATCTGATCTAAAAAATAATCTGCAGCCTGCTGCAGTACAGTATGATTTCTGCCACTAAGTTAAAGACATATAGACTAATCCGATATTCAAAACTATTACTATCACAGAAAACTTTTGAATAAAAGTTTATATAATAGAAAATCAGCCAAAGTTTATTTAGCTACAAAATATCCAAGTCGAGAGGTGTCTCCAAGATAGTTCCTGACAAGTATAGATATCGACATAATAAAACTACTGAAAAAGACATTAAATCAATATATCCATGATTATTGGAACTTGTGTCTGCTCATGCAGCATTGCAATTATTAGTACTGAAATATTTTTATAGATGCTTTTTTATCATTAACTCTTCATCAAATATTTCCTTTGTTAAGTTCAATTGCCCCAGAGTTAAGTAGTTACATTTATTCATATAATGGAAGGAATAAATTTATAACTAAAAGAATTCTCTTTTCATTTTTAAAAAACAGCAGCAATTAAAGATAAAAATGGGAGTTAATAATAACTATAAAGAAATTTAAAAAAATTATAACTGATCTGTGTAGATAGTTTGTTAAGAAAAGTCATTTTCATTAATTTATTTTAATTGAAAATATTTAGTTTTTTTTCTGAAAAATAAAATAGTTAAAAATTAATAAAATAAAGGAACCTACTGTGATTCTTTAGGCACCTTGACGGCCAGGATTTTTCAACCCCTATCCATCCTATAAGATAATTGCAATCAATAGGGGTTCATGATTCATTAAAAACAGATAGTGTAGATAGAAATAGGCAGATCTACATAACTTTTAGCTGGTTTAGCAAATAACGTGATAAAATCTGCATTTTATACTTCTCAGTTTCTTAAAAACATTTAATTTTCATAACATAAATAGGTACCCTGTGGCAGAATTTTTTCAAGCTCCCTACCACTAATGTCTTTCTACAAGATTCTTTTAATAATAACAAGCATATTTGTTACTAATTTAAAAGAACAAAAGTGCCGTGTTTACAAAAAAAAGAAAAACTATTACATTTTTTAATTGAATATGTAATAATTTTTTATTCTAATATGAAGATATTCTCGCATTTTTTTGGAGGGGGGAGAGCGCACTAATAATTTTCTTCATTGCATTTTGTAAATAATCATCACAATAAAAAAATTAATTAAAACCAGGAAATCCGTTGCCGAAAAAAGATCAACAAGGAACCCACGAGAATCGGACTCCTCAAATGCGTGTTTCGTTTCGAGATTAGGTTGTAATAAATAATATCATATATAAAATAACGGATTTAAAATTGATGGAGAAAACCAATAGCAATAACTGCTAAAAATTCGATAGTATTACTGCCTTAAAAAGTAAACATTCAAATGCACGGTTCAAATTTTTCATACTGTTTGAAATATATTCAAACAATATGAAAAATTTCATATTGTTTCAAACCACGTGAAAATCAATATCAATAACTGCAGAAACTTCAATCAAAACATTACATGGATTTACGATACTATCTGCGAAAATGGAGCTTGTCAAAAAGTGATCATCTAAATGTATGATTCAAATAGTACGTGGAATTTACAAGACAAATTTACGAGAAAACTCAAATTTTGTCCTTTTCAAACAAAAAATCTTTCTGCAAGAACTCTATAAAGTTCTGCAACAATGACGCCGTGATTCTGCCACGGGAAATAGGCAGATCAAATATATTGATGTTTAGTACAAAATTTTCTTAAGTTTTCACCTGTAACTAAATAGAATAATTTTTACTTTTAATTTTGCAAGTTCATCAACTTTTTAATTCATCCAGGAAAAGATTAGAATTCCTATACACACATCTGACAGAGGTAAATGTTTTTAATCGTCATTAAATGATTTCAAAAGAGCTTCTTTCAAGGAATCCAACTGAATAAGATAATGACTGTAATTAGTCTATGAATCAAGAAATTAAATCAAATTCAACTATATACTGGTGCACAAATTTATCTATATAGAATAAACAAATGAAACATTTCTGAGGCATATTCTGATTAGTAAATAATATTTCAATCAATGACGACTTTTGACTTCCTAAGAGAAGATTTCTATGAAAATAATCGACAAGTTTTAGCATGACTTTTGTGATCTGGCCCACGAATATATACATATATATATAAGGGTCCAATACAAGGGCATAACTCATACTCATTCCACGGCCAACTTAAACATATTTGTAAAATTTTTTTGAACCTTTAAGATCCTTTTGGTGATTGTAGTTTCAGCAAACAAGACCAAAAATATCTCCCTAATTAACAATCCGTGCACCTTTGAATTTGACTCTTAACATTACAAACAATTTCTATTTTTTCTCTAAAAAATTATTTTTTTAAAAAACATTTATCAATTGGTAACCATTGTTCTTGCTAGATTTTCGAATCGCTACCTCTGTCAAAATAGTATTGGTGACTACCAGTTAGTGATTCTCGAGAAACTGAAAAAAAAACAAAAAAACAAAGAAGGGAAATACTAAAAGGGTACATAACTCATAACTTCCTATAGGGCAAACTTCTATACTTAAAAAAAAAATTGCAAATTTCAAAATACCCTTGGAGATTGCAATGGGTACAGGTACCAATACAGAAATATCTCCAAACCCCTGTAGCAAAATTTTTTCGAGTTATCTGTGACCCCATAAGCACAATATTTTCAAATGTTCTGCAACAGGACTTATTAATCTACACAAATGTTCTGGAAGCATTTCACAGTGAAAAAAAAGTCAACTTTTCACTAAAATACTATATTTTCAATTATTAAAATACAGGATCATACTCAGATGCACTACATTCTTTTTTAAACCGAGGCAAACATTCTTGATTTGTTACTTTTTAAATTTTTTTTTGAAGTGCAAAATTTTGTTAATGACGATGATGAATTATTAATAAAATGCCTATGATATGAAGGTCCGAACATTAAAATAAGGGCTGCCTTAGAACTCTTTCGAAGGGACAAGTGCCAATATGGTGCACCATTTGCAAACACAAACATTCGTTGGTCTGTTGTTCCAACAACTTCATCTCCATCAAAAGCATTTAGTCTTTTAGAAACAATTCTGTCAATCGTTTATCCCCACGATTCACAAATTGTTTCTGAAATGGGAATGGAAAATATAAAAGTAAAACTTTAAATGCAGTCAGTTATTCAAACTACAAATTGTTCTGCAGGACATTGTTTGTTCTGCGACGTACATCGCAGTTTTAGGCACTTTCTGCTTCTGGGTCTGTGACTAATCTCTCGAACACAAATATCTTNATATTATGGATAATATTCTCGCATTTTGTTTTTTCCAAATTATTAAATTTTGTAAATAATCAAAAGTAATTAAAAATCATGAAATCAATGGTTGTAATAGCTGAAAAAAAAACTTGACGACAAAATCATGCAAATCGGACTCCTTAAACGCGCGTTTCGTTTCGAGATTAGGTTGCTGTAACAAATAATATAGTATCAAAAATATCAGATTTAAAAACTATGTAGAAATCAATAGCAATAGCCTTAAAAAGTACTCAAATGCACGATTCGAAATATACTGTTTGGAATACATCGGGATATTTAAAATCCAAGTGAAAATCACTATCAATAACTGCCGAAAATACAATCGAAAAATTACATCGATTTATGATACTATCGGCGTAAATTGAGCGTGTCAAAAAGTGATTATCTAAATGCACAAGTCAAATATGTGTACATTTTTGTAGAAAAGGAAATTGAAATTTTTTACTTTTCCAAAGAAAAATCTTACTGCAAGAAATCTGTAACGTTCTGCGACAATGTCGCTGCTATTCTGCCACGGGCATCCTTACCACTCTTTGTCTGAGACAAACTGTATTTTTCCTTTCAATTTTTAGGGCATCTTAGTAGCACATTTAATATTTATACTTAAATAAACAAACTTACTTACCAGAGAATTATATCCAGACAAGTAACCTTATTACTATGATTTAAATAAATAAAAAATAAACATTTCTTTTAAATCCTAAATGGATATTTCAATCATAAATATACATTTCCTTTCCAATAGCAAAAAAGGTTTTAACAAAAATGCAAACTTAATGAATTTACCATTTCAACTACCTTTGAAACGAACTCTAACCTTTTTAAGTCTAGAAACTAGAGCTTTGGTGAAAAATGTCATTTATAATCAGATTTTTGACCAAAAAAAAAACAAAATTGTTAATTTTTTAACAATATAAGACAGACTTAAGATGATTATAAGAAATTTTTACCAAAATACCTGCTTTAGGACATGTTGTATCAACTAGGAAAGATTAGAAAAACCAGTTAAATGAAGAATAGGAAAAATCATAAAATCAAGAAGTTAAAAAATATCAAATAAAATAATTAAGTATTCATCACGCATTGCAAAATAATAATAAATATACTCACAAAAATAAGGTTCACTATCCTCTTTGAGCATAATTGCATAAGCTTCGATAGATTTAACAGTCTCATTGAAAACTTTTTCAAGTGACCACGAAGAACAATAAGGATAGGAATCAACTACAACTGAAGTAGGCACTCCTGAACATGTATGATAAATAGATCTAAAAATTAAATCAGGAACACCAGTAGGAAAATTTTCAGGTAAATTAATTTCCAACAGAAAATTAAAATCTTCTACTTCAAGCAAGAGAACCATATTATGGAAATAAAATATGTCATATTCAACAACACAATTATAAAAATGACTTAAAAACTTAGCAAAATAAGTTTTCCTACTTTCGTATCGAGATGCAACTAAGTCAACTTGGCAACGAAGCTTATCTTCGACAGCTACGATGTAACGATTAAGTTGAAATTCCCTCATATGACCAGGAAATTCAAAATTTCCATTAAGTCCAAGAGCATTTTTGATTTCTTCAGATAAATATAGCCTTTGGCTGCATTTTTCATTATCTCTGTCTGAAAATATTAACAATAACAAAGCTGATTCATAACCACTTCTTTGAGTTACATCTGGCAAAACATCACAAAACTCAACATGCAATCGAACGAGCATCGTAATTGGAGTCTTTGCTTTAGAAGGCACGTAAACTTCAATATCGTCTTCACTAAAATTCCGTATTTGAAACAACGATAAATATTCGTAATTTAATTCTGTGTATTTTTCTAAATCTTCCATATTCTTTTTTTTATAGTAATACATAATCTCTTTCACTACTTTAAACAAACCATCTGTTTCCTGAACATCCCAATTATGCAAGCTTTCTAATTCATCGATTGGAACGAAAAATTTCAGATCGGAAAATAGAAAGTCTGGGGGACATTCTGGTTGAGTAGCTTGAAACATAACAATAAACTCAACAGAGGTTCCAGCATACGGAACCACGACAGTAAATCTGTCACAATTAGCATTTTTCTCAAATGAAGGACAGGATGGTTGTGGATTTTTAATAACAAGACCTTCATGGCTTAAGCCAATATAACGCTTAGTTAGGATAACTTCAACATGTTTTTGAACATGCGGCACAAAACAAGATATATCTGTCATGATAAAAAAAAAAACAGAGGTAAGTCACTCAAAGAGTAACTTTTACACAAACTAAAGAGTCACACAAAAATTATAATAACTGTATTAAGGAGATTTTAAATAAATAAATGGCTATCTAAAAGTAGTTCATGTCACATTCATTCGGCACAAAACAAATAAAATGTTTTTTATTTTTCAAAATCAGCTCAATAATCAGAATTAGAGACATTTATGTAGACAGATTAAAGACTACTTCCACATACATCATTCTAAGTTAGAGGTACTTGAAAAGTAGAGAGCTGGCTTTTTACACTACCAAACAATACTTAACTGCGTAGATACCGATCAGTCAAATAAATTAAAATAAGTTCGCTTTTTTGTATTAAGAAAACAATTCAGAAATACACAACGTTTTATGTTGTCATTTTTAAATTTCAAGTAGAATTGAGGGTGGCGCACAATTTCGCAACATAGCGACTTAAAGGACACTAGCTTGTAGCAAGCTAAGCATTATTGGCGATTGAAATAGCTACAGATGGCGCTCTGTACCTATGACAAGACTTTGCACCCTTTCACCATTAGCATGTGGAAAGTCATAGAGGAATGAAGTTCGTTAGTTTCTCGCTTGATTTTCATATTAGATTAAAATCTTTTAAGTTGGAAAACTACATAGAACTGCAGATACGTCTTACGTAAAAACGAAAAGAATAAGTGAAGGTTAAGGCACATCACAACAGAAACTTAGAGCTTTTATTTGAAGGTATGCCGCTAAAAGTACAATATTAGTACAACAGATTCTTGCAAGTTAACAAATTCAGGTATTTCCTACCGACATAGTTCATCAAAAAGAAAATTTAGTTTAATATATAGAGATAAATGCTGATGGATGTAAAACTTATCTGTGAAGGACAGACTAAACTATCAAGTCAAGATAGACGGGCTATAGAATATCAATACACATGCTATATTTTACTAAAAGAAGCTCCCAATGAAAGCAGTTGACATTATAAAGCTCATCATAATTAATGAATTAAAAAAGTTTAAACCATGAAATTTCAAAACTTAGTCCCGTAACATATTTGGATTTGTTGAGTGACTCAATCGTCGCTTTATTTTTACGAATGTAATAAGCAATTAATTTTAATAGATACAGTATTTAATTTAAAACGATAACTGACGAGCTCATTGCAAAGAAAAATAATAATAAGAGAACCGTATTACTTTTTAAAATATACCATAAAATATTTAAGAAATCTTGCTTTTCGAAAATATCAAACGTAAAAGTTTGTGAAAAATAATTCAAACTTACCTGTTGCGATATAAATCCGCATAAAGCACCGACTGTATTGCGACATTGCTAACACACCCACAGATACTGAGTGACTGACTGATACAGTTTTATCGGAGTGCCTATCCTAGGGGGATATCTGCTCCTTCATCTAAGTTATATTTAAAAGGATGATGGGAAGGGTGGTGCGAGGTTTAATAAGTTATGTCTCAATTGGAAACATTTTATAATTAAAATAAAATCTGGGATACGTATATACATGTTAAATCGCATTGGGATACATAAAAAATTAGAATAATGCACTCCCTCGCCTCCCCCCAGTAGCTGGGCTTCTCAGGTGCAGAGTGCAAAGCTTGTCTATGGTAAAGGTGACAATATTAAAACTATCGGTTGTAATATTTTGATAATACGCAATCGCTGAGCACCGAAGTCAAGCATCACTGACTGCGGTCAGTGATGCATCCCGGAGAATGATCCGAAGACATGCCATCACAATTTTGATCCTCTGTGGAGGGGATGGCACCCTGCTTCGGTAGCCCGACGACCTGCGCACGAAGTCGAGCACTTTACGGTAGCACAGTTTATCGAGGACCGATATCGCACACCCTAGGTCCCTACGCGGACTGATCCAAGTGGTCACCCATCCGCACACTAACCGTAGCCAGTGATGCTTGACTTCGGTGATCTGCTGGGAACCGTGTCTGGTCGTTGGGCTACCGAAGCAGGGGTGCCATCCCCTCTACAGAGAATCAAAATTGTGATGACTTGTCTTCGGATCATCCTCAGGGATGTTTCCCAGACGGTCGCCAATAGCCCATTGTGCAGCTCTAGTACGACGTAAATTAACTACAACAACAACAACGCAATCGCTGAGAAAGAATGCGGTTATCGGACTGAAATTTGCATTATTTTTTATAATGTCCAAGTCTAATAGTTTGTTGAAGTCGCAATCGCTACAGTCTTTAGCGCCTTTAAAAAAGGAAGCGTTTAATTTAAATAAATATTGGTCAATTTTGTCGATTTTTAGGTCGTTATATAAAGTATTGTTTCGAACAAACCAGGGTGCCCCGGTCATTCGTCTAAGTATTTTATGCTCAAAAATTCTGATTTTTTTTTCTTTGGTTGTTTGTTAGAGCCCCCCAGGCTGGGGATGCATAACATAGTATTGGTCTGATACACATGAGGTAAATATGTCTTTTTGTGCCATTTTACTTTCACTGTTCAGCAGGGGTTTTAATGCTTCGGCTTTTTTGAGAGAGTTGTTGTTGTTAATTTACATCGCACTAGAGCTGCACAATGGGCTATTGGCGACGGTCTGGGAAACATCCCTGAGGATGATCCGAAGACATGCCATCACAATTTTGATCCTCTGCGGAGGGGATGGCACCCCCGCTTCGGTAGCCCGACGACCTGCG